ACACACACACACACACACACACAGCCCATTAACCCTACAGGTCCTATTGAGAGCAGCGTTCCTTTGAAAGCCTTCAGGGCCCCTGTGTTTTACACTCTGAATATAATAATGCACAGAGGTGCTCGGCTCACTGGTGTCCAACTGCAGTAATTGAGAGACAGGGGAGGTGATGGGGGTTACACAGTTCGTCCTGAGGTGTGTGTGTTACCAGAGGTGTGTGTTCACGCGTTTATGTTTCAGTTCTTTGATTATACTCCGCCCCCGCCACCCAAACACACACTGATACAATCTGGAAAGCTTGTTAACAAATCAGCTAAAGGGATAAACGATAAAAGCAACATAATGTTTTCATTTTATTTGGATTAAAGATGGAAATATTGATGTTTGTGAAAATCTGTAAGGTCTTGAGTCAGAACCTCAAAGCCAYACTTTCTTGTAATCTTTAAAAAGGTTTTGTTTTCAGACTTTCTGAAGGTCTTTCGGAGCCGTTTGTTTGATTTTAGTTGCTTTTTCGACTTATTTTCATTTCAATGTCCAACTTTTGTAATAGTGATGTTTATTTGTGAGACCATTAAACTTTAAACTATTAGTCAGATTTTATCAACTGGAGGGCCGCGGGCCATAACCAGCCCGCGTGAGGGCCACTTCCGGCCCACGAGGGAGATGTCTGAACAATTAGAACAGTAGATGTATTTTTTAATTAATCAAAATAATAATAATAATAATAATAATAATAATAATAATAATAATAATAGCTTATATAATTTTTTTTGCCACGTTTCATTTTATCAGTTTATGTTAAGTTAAATTTTATCAGTCGAAAAACAAACAATCTGATTTCCTCACTCTTTCTCTTCACGTGTCACTGTTGTTTCCTTTAGATAAGATCAAATATTATTCTATAATACAAAATATTGCTTGAATTTGTATAGTATTGGTGTCAAACGCAAACTCRGAACACTTTATGTTTTTGTTAGAGACACAAAGTGTCACATACAGTAGAGTTGTGGGAAAATGTTTTAACATATTATAGACAAACAAGAAGACAAAAATAAACAAATTCTGTAAGGTTGATGATTTTTATCGTGTCTGTTTGCAGTGTTTTGTCTAAGGAGTACCAGCACACTCTGCAGATGATTTCTCCGGTTGTTCAGCAGCATCTGAAGACTCTGGTTCCCGGTGRGCCTCAGCTCAACATGTGTGACCTGGCGGTGATGGTGAGAGTCGTGTTAATCAGACAAAAACATGGTTACCTTTAGGATCAGTCAGGGTGTTTATAAAACAGGCAGATAAACTGGGTTAAAAATGTTAATTTGGCTCAAAGGCTTTTTTTGTTTGTTTCTATTCATTCAGTCACTCTACAGAAATTTACGTAATAAACACAGATAAGACTTATTAAATAAGATTGTTTTTTTTATTTATCTGATCCTTTTCTGTAGTTCAACATCAAGTGTTTCTGTGATGGTTATGGTTTCACTGATGGGACAAAGCCTGCAAACAGTTCTGCTCTTTGTTCATTTGTGTTGAAACACTGCCTCCTTGTGGCCAATTAGGGAAACAGCTTTATTTAGGGTTATAACAATCCCATTTAAGTGCTTATTTTTAACATAAACATAATTCATCCTGTGTCTTCCAGATGTTGTAGATCTGTTAAAAAACAGTAATAAAGTTCAAATGTTTTATTTCATCATTATGCATTTATGCAAATAATTTATAAATTCTAATATTGTCTTTAAAAATATTACTGCTACTAAAATCTTAAAAATAAATCATGTTTTGGCATAAAAGTTATTAAACTGACCTCTGTGAGATGATGCATATATTTTATAATAATTCATGATAAATATGATGTATTAAAAAGTAATGACATCGTTATATTATGTAGTAATATGTTCCAGTTTATTATTGTAGACAAATATAAACATGATGAGTTAACAGTGTTAAACCACACAGGATGATGATTAATGCTAAACTAAAGGAAGACACTTGGATCAGAACCAAACACAGATAAAAAAAAAAAAGGCAGGAAACTGGCCCACCCTAAAGCCGTCAATGCTCAGGTCAGGAAACAGAACCCATCTGGTTCTTTCCATGAACACAACTAAACTAAAAAAACACACGTCTACCTTTTGTTTATGGTTTTAAATTCATTTGGTGGACTGTAACGATCGCTCTCTCTTTCACAGAACTGGGCTCCTGCTGGTTGTGAGAAGTTAGGAAAGTGCCTGAATCCACCCGAGTCCAAACCCTGGAAGTGCTCCTGGCCACACTGAGGACAAACCCAGAGGGTCTGATGAAGAACTGAGACCTCACAGCAGAACGACAACTGATCCTTTTATATCAGAGCAATTAAAAACATGATTTTATACAGTATTAAGGAAAGAATATGGGTGCAAATCAGGGCAAATTAGGTTTAATGAAGATAAATAAACATAATATGAAGGTAGGGGGCTGAATCATGAACTGATGTAATGATGGAGGGCAAAAAGGGAAGTGTATTTATTTATACTGGTTGTACTGGAAGATCAGGTTTTAAACAGATAAATGATTTTTTTATGATGCTTAAAGCTTCATGTTTGTCTGAAGTTACATTTTCCTCTTAGTGATTCATGATTGACTAGCTGGAAGCTACTTTGTACCAACTTTAAAAAGGGCTTGTTTTATATTCATTTTTCAAAATAAAATGCAAGTACAAATTAACAAATATTTTGTTGTATTWTTTCTGTGTGGCCCTAAATGATCCATAGACTACTGCTTAGGATTAATCTGTGTCAAACTAAAGAAAAAAAACTATAAAATAAACCAGAATCTTCTGATTCAATGCAGTTTGTTTAGAAACATTAAACCAAACATCAGATTTATTTGGAAACTCCTAAATAAATTAAGACATTTCTATAATTTGGCTCACATAATGGAAAAAAAAAAATTCATGATTTTTTAAATCACCCAGAAATCTGTGTTTCTGCTCTGCATAAGTAAGTTTTAAACCTTTTAAGCTCTTTTGTTATGAAAACGAACAGAAAATAACAGTTTWTTGAACTAAATGTATAAAAAAGTAGAGTTTTTGCTTCTGAGCAGAGCTTTTATTTTTGTTTTTAGCTCGTTGACATAACTGCTGATTTTAAAATATATACTTATACTTTTTTTTCCGGAGTTATTTCCTTTACAGTTCAGAGGAAGTTGCACGTTTTATAAAACAAACCAAATGAGTTTTTTTTTTTTTTTTTT